ACAAGTCTTAGGAGCCCTAGTCAGCATACCCAGATGAGCTATAGCCTATCAGGAACGTTGTAAGCTGGAACATCTGGGGAACATCTGGAACATCTTAGACTGCCTGGTCCTGCTTTACAGGGTTGCCTTCCCTAAAAGCAGGGTTGTATGAGCAACTTATGTTCCCATAAAGATGCCTTGATTTCTCCCTTCTTCCTGCTGTGTGTGTGTGTGTGTGTGTGTGTGTGTCAGTCTCTGTCATGGACACCCACACTCAGAAAAATATATAGGCCAGGAAAAAGACAGAAGCCACCATGAGCAAAGGTAGCAAAACTTTTTCTCAAGGCCAAGGCTTCCCAAGCCTGAGGCAAATGACAGGATGGTCCCCTTTCCTATATTCATCATAAACAAGCAAACTGCACTGGCACTAGCTCCTTGCCCCAGTACTGGCAAGAGGATAGGGTCCTCCATGATATCTCTGAGGATCAGCTTAGTTTAGGCGTGCTGGACAGATTGCATGGGACACACAGCTCTGTCCTTCAAAACAGAAATGCTGGTTGTTTTATTTTTACAAACCTCTAAGGACACATTTACTCCAGTCTGCATTTGTTTGAAACTCATTAGCTACTGCCACCTCTGTATATGTGTTTAACTGTAAGCTCTATGCTGCATTTTAGGATATTTTAAGTCACTTTGTGAGCACAGTATATCCTGAAAGATACATTAACAATCTTACAAATAAATACTTTGTGGTGTTCCTAGGAAGTGCTGCACATCCCACTGGGCTAAGCAGACTCGAAGGATTGCTTGCTTCAGTGGAGTTACAAGGTACAGTGTAAATTGCATTAATTGATGAGCAGCTTTCAGGTGCAGTAGTGCCAGAGAGAAGCTAGTGCTTGTATATGAATCATGGTAAAAATGACTTGAGGAAAATGTTCTAAAATGGTCATGCTGTGCAAGGATGCTCAATTTCAGCCACATATGTATGGATTTCGACTCTGCATTGCAGCAGCTTAAAATAGGGGGTTGCCTAAAATGAAGCAAAAAAATCTTCCAGCCCTAAGTTCAAATAATGGTTTTAATTCTCTGAAGTGAAACATTGATCTTACAATGTTTCTTGGCAGTTCTCATTTTATAGTCAGTGCTTTCCTCTATCCATTCTCTTCTCTTCCTGTTTCACTAACAAGTCATCCTCACCTGCCTGACAGTCCTAGTGCTTCACTGCACAATGCTTCAGGATGCAAACAGCAGAAAGAAACAAGAGCAGACACTTGCACTTTTAATGTACACAATACTCAACCACAGGTAGGTGGCACATTTTCTTCCCAAACAAAAGAACATTGCCCCGTATGTAAGAAGAACAATGAACTTGATGCCCACCAGTAGAACTTTGATACTTAGGGCTGCATAAGATACCTGGTTGCAGGGGATTTAGACCCAAGGAAGCAGGAGACACCGGTTGGGTTCAAAAGACATGGCAAACAGGTTTAACTTACCAGTCAGAAAAACATGCAGTTACCTGGGCAGTGTGGGTAAGGATTATCCCAGCTCTGAATGCCCAGAGAAGCTACAGTGAAGTGTGGGAACCTTGGAACAGACTGCTGATTCTCATCCTGCTATGCAGGCTTCCCTGCTAGTCAGATTTCACCATGGCTTCTTGTGTTGTATGCAGCTGCCTGCTGTGGTTGACTTCCTAGGCAGCAAGGAGTGGGCATTGCTGATGCGCCACTCTGCTCCTGTCACCTGGCAGCAAGTGGGCCAGGCTCATGGCCTGAGGCACTGTGGCTAAGCTGGCTCAAGTGCCCGTCTTGCAAAGAGATCCAGGCTCTGCTGTCACAGTGTCTTTGGGCCCCAGCACAGGGGCTTTGCTGAGTGCTGTCCCCTGAAGCAAGAAAGGATTCCAGCAAAGTTGCCATGGTTCTTATTTGGTCTAAGCTTGCTGCCATCACAATGCAGGTTAATGACACAATGCAGAGTGATGCTGGGGCCTGAGCAAGTTCGGCTTGGGGTGGGAAGGGAGACGAGAGCAGTCAGGCCCATGACCGTACTTCATCTGGTTACTGGATGTCCTCGAGTTTCTGTAAAGGAAATTAGAGCTGCCCTTTTCTTGACACAAATAAACATGTAATGAAATCAGTCTGCTATTGTGCTGTGGAACCGACCTATCCAGAACAAGCCCCTCACACTTCCTCAGTACAAATCCTATCCCACACCAGAGAGGAAGTTCCTCTGAAGTCATGCTGCCCTCATTCATGTCTCCTGGCAGGAGGGAGGAAAATGCTGATGTGCTCCTTTTCTCCTGCTTCAGATGAGCTTGCACCATGGAGCTCCATGATTCGCTTCCCAGTGGGCCTTGGGACTAACATTTGGCCTCAGTGGGGTTGCCTGCCAATTCCTGAGGCTGGAAAATAAACCCATAACATGTGTTCTCAGTGCACAGCCTGCCTTGGTCTCGCGGCAGGGTTGCTGCGGCCACAGCAGAGTCCTAAAAGCTGTAGGATCACGATGGATCCCTGCAAGTGGCTGCATCTTCCAAGCATAGGTGGCTCTCTTCTGGCTGACTGGGCCAACACAGTAGTTTGCTGGGACTTGGCCAGAGTCTGTGCAGAGCAGGGAGGCAGATGGACCATGAGTGCAATGCGAACCAAAGTTGCTGTGACCATGAAGTGGAGCACTAGCCAACACATAATCATGGACAGGGCCTTTGGTGAACGGGCAAGCGCCTGCTGGCCTGCACAGCAAATGCAGCTTTGTTTATCATTTCAACTCAGTTGCCCAAAGTGTTTCCCCGTGTGTCATTGTTTGGGAAAATCAGAGCTGCTTCCCGTGTTGACAAAAATAAAGATGTAAAAGTGAAGACTGCCTTCACATTGTGCATAGGGCGTGTACAGGATTTAAATCCAGAACCTTTCACACATCATGCAAGATTTGTACCTCTAGATTAACAAGCATACCAGAGTGATAAACAAATATGCATAAAAACACTCTACCACTCTATAAACCAGACTCCTCTTTGCAGTGTAAGGTCTGTGGCATGGGTGGCTGCAGTCTGAGAAGGATGATTTAACTTGGTCTCCTGCACTGAGTAGGGCTTGGACCTGATGGATGGATGGATGGCCCTTTCCAGCTCTATAATTCTATAATTTGAAGATGCCAGGACCAGGGCAGGGTGGAGGCTTGGACCATCTTTAGAGGGCCAGAACCAAGTGGCACATCAATGAGTCAAGGTCAAATGCCAGCAAAACAATAAGGTTTGGGCAAACAAACAGTCCCAGAACACACAGTCTAAGAGCATCGAACAAAGCTCAGGTACCAGGAAAAAAGTCATATTCAGGAGCAAGGCAAGGTCAGGGAGGATGGGTGCAGGTTCCTGGTAAGGCAGGGTCAGGCTGTAGGGTGGAAGCAGGAACAAACTGGAGCTGTACAGGCAGGCACTAGGGCTTAGAGCAAGGCAAAGCTGGAAGCCAAAGCACAAGGTAGCCACCTGAACAGCTCATGCTGTTGTGGCAAGGAGCAGTCCTCCAAGAGATACTTTTAGTTAGCTCTCCAGGGTTTCCAGATGTACGGTATAATTTCCACACAGCTGTTCCCTGTAAGCAGCTGCAAAGATCTTCCTGGTTCATGGGCACTTGCATGGCGGATCAGGCTCTGATCCTAATATGCACAATGTTTCTGGCAAACACCCTCTTAATTCTGGCCTGGGTCAAAGCTGTGGGGCAGGAAAAGAAATCCACAGAAATCCCAAGTTCCTGCCGTGACTCAGATTCGAACCGAGGTTGCTGAGGCCACAACGCAGAGTACTAACCACTATACAATCATGGCTGAGCTGGTGTTACCTGCTGAGAGTGGCCATTTCTTCTCTGAGCACAGCAAATCTCTGCCAGGAAGATGGGCCAAGCAACCCGCCCATTGTCTCATGTAGAGAACAGGCAGGAGGAAGAGCTGCCTAGCCTGGCACCATTGCTTAGCTGGCCAAAGCGCCTGCCTTGTAAGCAGGAGACCCTGGGTTTGACTCCCAGTGGTGCCTCTGCTGACTTGTTCAGCGGTGGGAGTGGTGAGCTCCCCTTTTCCAGCCAAAGATTTTCCCTCGGCATTTTTGCAAGGCAAATGAAAAGTTTTTTCTCAAATCAAACTCAAAAGTTCAGCAAGCCTTCCTACCATGGACAGGGCCTGCCTTGGCTGGGATTTGGACTCAGGGTCACTTTTACCCCAGGTAAGAAATATATTTACAGCCAGGCAAGAGGCTGTTCTGGGGGTCAGGCTGTTGTTGCCCTGCATAGCAGGAGGCCATGTACTTTGCTCTGCTCCCGGGATGTGGCAGCAAGCAAGCCTGCTGTGCAGCAGGAGGCACCATGGCTAAGTTGGCTAAAGCGCCTGTCTAGTAAACAGGAGATCCTGGGTTCGACTCCCAGTGGTGCCTTAGGATCTAACCCTTTTGGCCCCAACAAAGTGGGGCTTGCTGAGTGGCTTTTGCTATTCCCCGAGGTGGGTGGGGGGAAGAGGCATAAGCATTCTGGCTTTGTGTCATGACTTGCATATTTGGCCTGAAGTGGCTGCAGGCACAGAGCAGAGAACTAGCCACCACAGCTGCCTTTCCCAACCTGGCACCCTCTAGAGAGGTTGGGCCACAACTGCCATCATGAGTCCATGCTGAGTAGGAACAATGGGAGTTGCAGTCCAATGCATCCAGAGGGTGCCAGGTTGGGAGAAGGTTGCTCACAGTTAGAGCCACTGGAGGCTGGGTGTAAATCCATCAAAGACCTTCATTGCCAGATGGCAAAAGGATTTCCTTGGGTATCTTTGGAAAGCCTGCCATTCCACAAAAATGAAAATCTAAGTGCAGTGACCAGTCTTATTATGGATTTGAACCCACATCTTCTTGGGCCATAAGTGAGAATCATACCACTAGACCAGCAAGCCAGATGTGAAGCTCCTCCGTGTCAAGGCAGTTGTGCCAGCCACACTGAAAAGGCTTTGGCTGCTGAGATTGTCCTCTGGCTTGGAGGGAACAAGCAGCATAAGGCGCCATGGCTGAGCTGGCTAAAGCATCTGTCTCGTAAACAGGAGATCCTGGGTTCGAATCCCAGTGGTGCCTTGGGAATTTTTTTTCTGCTAGTATGGTTCAGCATAATAAAAAAGCATGGCTCACTGAGAGGCCTTTTCACATTCTCTAAGGCTGGAAAAGAAAACATAAAAAGTTTTGAGTTTGTGCCGTGACTCGGATTCGAACCGAGGTTGCTGCGGCCACAACGCAGAGTACTAACCACTATACGATCACGGCTGAGCTGGTGCTTGCCTCCTACAAGCAGCTGTTTCTTCTGAGGCCAAGGCGAATCGCTCCCGGCAAGGCAAGCCACAATGTCAGCCAGCTGGGGCCAGGCCAAAGCCTGCGTGGAACGGGGAGGCAGAAGAGTGTCCATCTGGGGTACTATAGCTTAGCTGGCTTGGGACCTCCCTTATAAGCAGGCCCCTGAGCTCAGTTCTCAGTCATGTCTTTCTGCTTTGATGTGGGAGCCAAGCATGTCTGCTGTGTTCTCGCTGTGCTGCAGAAGGAACCCTTTGTTTTGTACCTGTGTGCACCAAAACCACCAGCCATTTGCCACAAGTCAGATTCATAGCGAAATGGCTGCCACCAGGCACAACGTGTTGCAGAGCAGAGGACTGAAGTGGGAGCCTGGGCGAGGGTTGGGGCCCTGCTGTGGGCGTGTGGCTTGGGAGTGGCAGGAGCAACTGGCTACACAGTTGTGACTTAGCTGTTCAAGAGTCTCCCCACATGTCTGCATGATGGGAAATGGGAGCTGCCTGCTGTCCAGAGACTGTGGAGACCACCTGACTGCCAAGTGTAAACATAACTGCAGTGTCTGAAATTTGAACGTGGGACCTCTCTCATCCTAAGCAGGAAAAATGCCCAGAGACCAGGTGTGTAGAACCTCAGGTCTGGGAGCCAAATCTGCCCTGCTGGGGACATCAGAAACTCCACCCTCTTTCCCCAACTATCACTGGTTTGATGGTTTCCTGGTTTGTTTGCACCCCCCTCCCAAATTCTAGAAGGTTGAAAGTCCTCTCCTAAGGCTCAGTTGCTGGCAGCAGTCCTTTGACCTTGGATTTGCCGCCACCGGCATGTGCTCTCTCTGAAATGGCATTTGGCCCCTGAGCTTGGACAGGTTCTATGGTCCTGCCATAGACCAGCACTCCAGACAGGAGACATCTTCTTGCCTGAGACATCTGCGGCATCTGTAGGGCTTTGCCACTGAGTCTCCCTGGCCAAAGGGAATGCATTTTATGGACATGCCACTTCAGCCCCCTTTTGCTTACAAGTCAGCCAGGATTGTAGTGTGAGGTGCCATGACAGCTGCATAAAGCACCCTCTAGGAAGCACTGTGGCAAACAGAAGGTCTTGGATGCAGCTCCCAGCAGGACTTGGAGAGCCAGCCCTTTTGCTCTTGAGGGTACAGGGCATCGAGCTAGCAGAGGCCCCTTTGCCATTCTTCAAAGCAGAAAAGGAATCCGCAAAAGTCTGGAATTTGTGCCACAACTCAGATTTAATCTGAGGTTGCTGTGGCCACAATTCAGAGTGTTAACTACTATGTGATCATGTCAGAGCTGTTGCTACCTGCTAGAAGTGCCTTTTTCTTCTGTGAGCAAGGGCCTCACTGGAATCCCAGTGGTACTTCTAGCTGCTTGCTTAGGAGTGGGAATGGAGTGCTCACCCTTTTTCCCTAGAAAGGCCAAAGGTTTTCTTTGGTGTGGCCCCTCCAAAGGTCCCCACCCCTGCAAGCCAAAATTAGAAAAGTACAACCTTCTTGCCATGGAGAGGAGTTGAACCCAGGACCTCTCATATGCTAAGAAATAGTCATACCACTAGATTAAATGCCAGAGGGGATATTTTGCACTGTTGCTGTGGGTTGTTTCACCCAGGTTGAAGGGATTTTCCAGCAAGCTTCCCTGGCAAAATTTGGCATAGGCTGCTTTGCTCCTGTCTTGTGGTAATGAGTGGGCCAAAATTATGGCCTGGGATGCCATGACTCAGCTGGTTAAATCACCTCTCTAGTAAACAGGAAATCCTGGGCTTGACTCCCAGCGGTGCTCTGGGAGTTAACTTGGCCCTGACAGCATGGCTGTGGCTCGGAGGGGCTAGCTGAATGCCTTTTACTACATGCTAGGGCAGGAAAGCTGCTCCAGAAAAGGTCAGAGTTGGTGCTGTAACGAATTGCTATACAAAGCCACTGAGTTGCTGCTGCTCTCCTTGACCTGCCTGGACAGAGGAGGAGAGCTTGCGGCTCAGCACATGGCATACATCTCCGCTGTCCCTTTTCTGGCCGCAAAAGATACCCCCCCCCCCGCCCCCATACAGCACAGCACATTTTTGGCAGCAAACTGCTGCTTTCCACTTTCAAAACTAGTTTAAAAGTGGAAAGCAGCAGTCCTATTTTTCCTGATTTTTTTCTGCCACCGCTCTTCCAAATTTGGTGCCAAATGCAGCAGTGTATTGGCAGTCCCCAGTGGCAGGGTGTGTGCTTGCACGTGTGCGCGTGTGTATGTTTGTAAGGGAAGCAATGTGGCCCCTCAGCCACTGGATGATGTCCATCTTGAGGCAGAAAGCCCAAGGGTAGGCCTGACTCTTCCAGTGAGGTGGGCCCCATCAGCAACCTGGCCTGTGGGGAGTGCGCAGGTGGGGAAGCAGCCAGGGACAGTGCAAGGCAATCGCTACCTGAGGTTGGGCAGCAAACCAGACCCTGATCCCTATCACGCTGTACAACACCCAAAGTTTTTGAGTTGTTCTTAATGGTAAGGCCAGCCCAAGGGGGAACCGACTCTGGCACCATAGCTTAGCTGGTCAAAGCGCCTGCCTTGTAAGCAGGAGATCCTGGGTTCGACTCCCAGTGGTGCCTCTGTCCAGCTGCTTAGAGCTAAGAATGGAAAGCTTCCATTTTCCTTCCAAGTGTTTTGTGATGGAAACACTTTTCCTTCCAAGTGTTTTGTGATGGAAACACTTTTCCTTCCAAATGTTTTGTGATGGAAAGTAGGGGGAACACAAAGCCCTCCAATAAAGCAAAGGTGTAGCAAGTCTCCTTGCAGTGGATATAGATTGCCTTAGATTTGAGCAAAAGTCCTTTCCTGTGCTGTGTGAGCTTCATGCCTCTAGAACAACAGGCCTGAGAGAAGCTTTTGTTCGCTTCAGCCAGTAGTGCTGCCTGCACTCTAAAGCCTTTGCTGCAGAGCAACCTTAACAGGCAGCTGTGCACATGGCTAATGCACCACTTGGCTGTGTCTTCTGGTGGGGAATGGTCCCAGTCTGCAGCAGGAGGCACCATGGCTAAGCTGGTTAAAGCACCTGTCTAGTAAACAGGAGATCCTGGGTTCGACTCCCAGTGGTGCCTTGGGATTGAATCTTTTTGCCCCAAGAAGTACAGATGCTGGAGTACCCATGTGGCCAATTTTGCAGGCAATAGCCCTCTGTTTGAAGGCATCCTCCATGTGAAGGGCTGTTCAGGCTGAAACTGGCTTAAGGGTAAAGGACCTACAAAGGGTGAACAAGCAAGGGTCTTGCAATTGCGTGTCAAGAGTGCTTGGACAGAAGGCTGGGCAGCAGGTATAGAGTACACCTGGCTCCAGTTGTATCCTCCATGCTGAGATGTATTTATTTCTATTCAGATCACAGCCATGATTTCTAAATATGTATGCACTTATACAAATTTGCACTTGCACATGTCACAACTTCCAGTTGTAGCTGGTGGCTCCAGCGCCACTGGGTGCTATATCCACCCTGAATTTCAGAAAGAACCAAAGAAGCTATCCATAGTGCTGAATCTGGCTTGGGGATAGGGTTCAGCACCACGGGTAGGGCCACAAGGATTGCACAAAGGACATGCTGCCCAACTGATATTGGTGCCATCAGACTCTTCCTTGATGATGCAGAAGTGGCTGCTCTAATGGGTGCCATTGAACAGCACATGCAGAGGCTCTTTTGACATACTCTGATAGAAGAAAAGAACGCCATAAAAATGCTGAGTACGTGCCATGACTCAGATTCGAACCGAGGTTGCTGCAGCCACAATGCAGAGTACTATCCACTGTACGATCGATCATGGCCATTCAAGTTGTTGGGTCCATTGCCAGAGCTCAGTTGCTCCAAGGGTTCCTTTATGAAAAAAGACTAAAACTGCATGCCTCTCTCCACCAAAATAAGCCGAAAGGTCAGCCAGCCTTCCTGGCCTGGTCAGGACTTGAACCTGGGACATTGCATACCCTAAGCAAGCCTCCCATTTGACCTGGATGAGAAGCTAGAAGAAGCTGTGCTTAAGGCTGTGATACCTCCCACACGGATCTTGCTGCTAAGCCTCCAGGACAGAAAGGCACACGCTACTTTGCTCCTGTTACCTGGCAGCCAGTGGGCAGGCACAGAGCATGAAGCATGTGAGGACTAAATTGGTCAGCACTTGCCTAGCAAACAGGAGATTATATAGTCAGCTCCCACTGATGCTTTGGAAGCCAACCTGTTTGGCTTTGGCAGTACAGCTAAAGCTCAATATAGATTGCTGAGTGAGTGTCTTCCACAGTTACTTGACACAGGGAAAAAAATCCTAAAAGTTTTGAGGCGATGCTGTGACTTGGATTCGAACCGAGGTTGCTGCGGTTCCAGTGCAGAGTACTAACCACTGTACCATCATGGCAGGAGCACAGTTGTGTCCTCGTGAGCAGCTGAGGCTTCTGGGGCAGGACAGGGCAATTCCAGCAAGATGGATCAAACGTTTTTCCCAGAAATTTTGCTAAGATAAAACCACAGGCATCACTTCCAGCTGGAATATAAATCAACACCATAATAAATGAATATTTATTATCTATCATAATTCTGTGTTGCATTTCTGAAATCTGCTGTTGGGCGCTAGACTCCCCCCACTTTTCTTTTTCAAAACAACAGATTGTTATATGGGAAAAGCTCTTTAATTGCAGTGTACATCCAGCAAACTATAGCCAGCAAAGAAATAGTTTCTGAGCATGCACAGAGTGGTTTGTTGAACTCAGACTAGAAACAATTTCCTTCTTTTGAGTAACCTTGCCCCTCTGGGAGTGTCCTTCTGGAGAGTGGCAAGC